GGGGCAGCATGCTTTTTCAGTGGATAAGTTCTAATGTAAATATTTGGGCTTTAAGTCAGAATGTAAAACCTTTGTGGTCGTTTTCTGATTAGCTCGGCTTGATTGTCGTTTTTATGTTTTTAAGAAAAAAACTAAATCTTTTTATGTCTATAAAGCATAGGCTGACATACCTAAAGTATATAAGCAGGGTCAGATCTAAGATTTTTCCGAGCGCTCTCGGAAAATTTTTAAGACTTTAGTATCGCCTCACTTTCTGTGTCACAGACAAAACATTGATAATACAAGTCAAAAAGCTGTTTTTGGACAGCTTTGTGAAAAAATTGACCAAAAATTGCGTTGTTTTAAAAAACTCAAGTGTTGGTCGGCCGAACAAAGATTTCATAAAAACTTACCAAAGAATTAACTTTTTGTTTAGTCAGGAGATCGCGTATGAAAACAAAACATGCAAAAACATAAATTTACATCAAAAAATAGGTCGAAAAAGTAAAATAAGTACATAATTATATATTTGAATTTTTTGATTTTTTCTTGGAAATAAGATACTTTGAAATGTTTTTTTTTTCTACAGACATGAAAAGGACCTGCTACAGACATGAAAGAGATTAGAAGCCGAACTAATCAAAAAATTATCACTAAGGATTCACAAGCTGAATATAAAAACCAAACAATTATATTAAAACTTATCCACTGAAAAAGCGTCCTGGCTCCCAAAAATCAAAAAAAACTGAGACAAAAATCAGTATGATTGAAGGCACTGAGTCAATCTGATTTTGAGCAGTTTCAGGTCATCACTATCTATACATTGATTTCTAACCTTAGAGACGGATCTTTGATGTTTGTCAGTTTGACAATAAGGTATATCGGCCTTTTTGACAAATTATCATCTCAGAAATAAAGTTTCAGAAAATTATTTTAATCATTTGCTCAAAAATGCCTTTGTTGCATTGAACTAGATTAACAAAACAAGCTATGAAGTTAGTTAAAATCAATTGTTTCCACAATCCGTAGCGAAAACGATTGCCAAACATTTAAGGGTACTAAGCTTATAAAATCAAGTTGTTTAGAGCTGGTGTCAGAATAAAATTTGAATTAACATAAAGATGTGAAAGGCCACATCGCGTATATTTGAGTATTTTTAACTTTTATTTAATCTGTTTTTGAACTTTACTTGATGCTGGGTATTGAGACAATAATACTATCATAAAACCTTTCATATTAGCCCTTTCTTCATAATTCTAAAGCTCGCGTTTTTTTCTGTATAACAATATTAGGACGCCAAGATCTCTTTTATGAAGAAGCCAAAGTTGAAATTTTTGGCTTTCAAATTCCGAATTGCCGTGCCTTGGCACTTAGACATTTTTTGCCAATAAAACAGTTGTCATTGGAATTTTTTTTAGCAAACGATGCTTAACACAAAATGCCTATAAATATTTTATTAATCCGAATTTCGAAAAAAGATAGAATACTTGTGTTCGGGTTGGCTTTTATTCAGCCACTGGCCGACTTTCTAACTAGCTTTTTTGACGAAAATTTTCATTTCATCTGAAAAAATTCAGTGTCTTGAGCACAAATTTAGACAAAAAACACAAGACACAAATTCTACGCGTGATAAATTTTTTGGCTAATTTTTGTTTATAAACACGATATATGTTTTGTGATATTATTGCCTATGCAGAGATTCAACTGTGTTCTTTTATCATTCCAAATTGAAATTCGGTTTGCTGTTTAATCAAATTGGGTTCCACAACTTGCTCTCCTTGTTCTAATTTTCGAAGAAAGTGACAAAATATTTGTGCTTGAGAGGTTTTTCTCCAGACTAACTTTTCTCCACATTTAAAACCGTTTTAATATCATCGAAAGACTATTGATTAAGTGAGTTCTATTTTTCAAAGATATAGTGCATGTGATCATTTTTAGGCAGAGTTATGAAGTTTAGGAAATTGCCATATTGGACAGTTTAGATTATTAAACCTCAATATATTTCGCTTTATTAGCGCGTAAGTGGCAACTTATTCCGGCTAAAAATTGTTTTAATTGAAACGAGACATGCTTGTTATTCTAATTATTGTTCGGAATTTCGAAGAAAATGGAGTCTTTATGCTCTTTGTGGTTTTTTTATTCAGTCAATTTTCGCCAAACGAAATAATCCTTTTCGACACAATTTTTCAAGTTCAACTTCATTGACTTCTTAAGTTCGATTTTAACAAAACGTTTTACCTACATTTGTTTTGTGTAAAGTTCTGGGGGCTTAAAAAATGCCAACTTAGCCAGATTCTGGACTAAACTATAGGCGCTTTGAAGAGTTTATTCATATTGCTGAAAGAGTAATGCAAACTATTTATGCGCGGCGAATTATCCCACACAACAAAATCGTTCCTGATTGAATTGAGGCTAGCTAATCAAATCGATCGTATTAATTTCGTACGACTCAACATTTCACATTTTGATATTGTCCAAATTTATAGGTTTTCACTATTTTCTTTTCCCAAAAACTATTCGATATGAAAAGAGGCACAGTCGGAACGTTCTGGGTTTTGTTCTGATATACGAGCAGTCTTGTTACAAACTTAATGCTGAAAATATCATTTTGTGTTTAAGTAGCGTGTGGGTAGGTTCTTTAAAAAGAAATTCAAAATATCTGTTTTTTGAAAACGTGATCACTTTTTCAAATCGAACACTTTTATATGGACATTAAAGGGCAATCGCAACATTCAGGGCGCCGCTTTCATACGGTCGTCAGTCTTTTTGTTCTCTTTTTTCACTGGATTCCACAGTTTATCCGTTGATTTCAGATGTTTTATTAAATTCCTCATACTACTGCAAATTCCACATAAGTTTGAGCAAGAAAAAACATGCGCAGCTCAGGTTTTCAAAGCGGATTTCAAAGAAAAGGGATTTATCAACATTATCGGTGGAACAACGTTTCAAATGCAGAGTGTATCAGCCTGTTGTATCTTTAAATTTCTGTTTTGTCTAACACACTGGTATCTAATTCTTTAATCGCATCGGAAGGGAGAAGGTTCGAGATAATCGGAGTATTCGGGAGGTTTGGAAGGCTCGGGAGAATTTTTCAAGTTCAACTTCATTGACTTCTTGAGTTCGATTTTAACAAAACGTTTTACCTACATTTGTTTTGTGTAAAGTTCTGGGGGCTTAAAAAATGCCAACTTAGCCAGATTCTGGACTAAAATATAGGCGCTTTGAAGAGTTTATTCATATTGCTGAAAGAGTAATGCAAACTATTTATGCGCGGCGAATTATCCCACACAACAAAATCGTTCCTGATTGAATTGAGGCTAGCTAATCAAATCGATCGTATTAATTTCGTACGACTCAATATTTCACATTTTGATATTGTCCAAATTTATAGGTTTTCACTATTTTCTTTTCCCAAAAACTATTCGATATGAAAAGAGGCACAGTCGGAACGTTCTGGGTTTTGTTCTGATATACGAGCAGTCTTGTTACAAACTTAATGCTGAAAATATCATTTTGTGTTTAAGTAGCGTGTGGGTAGGTTCTTTAAAAAGAAATTCAAAATATCTGTTTTTTGAAAACGTGATCACTTTTTCAAATCGAACACTTTTATATGGACATTAAAGGGCAATCGCAACATTCAGGGCGCCGCTTTCATACGGTCGTCAGTCTTTTTGTTCTCTTTTTTCACTGGATTCCACAGTTTATCCGTTGATTCCAGATGTTTTATTAAATTCCTCATACTACTGCAAATTCCACATAAGTTTGAGCAAGAAAAAACATGCGCAGCTCAGGTTTTCAAAGCGGATTTCAAAGAAAAGGGATTTATCAACATTATCGGTGGAACAACGTTTCAAATGCAGAGTGTATCAGCCTGTTGTATCTTTAAATTTCTGTTTTGTCTAACACACTGGTATCTAATTCTTTAATCGCATCGGAAGGGAGAAGGTTCGAGATAATCGGAGTATTCGGGAGGTTTGGAAGGCTCGGGAGAATTTTTCAAGTTCAACTTCATTGACTTCTTGAGTTCGATTTTAACAAAACGTTTTACCTACATTTGTTTTGTGTAAAGTTCTGGGGGCTTAAAAAATGCCAACTTAGCCAGATTCTGGACTAAAATATAGGCGCTTTGAAGAGTTTATTCATATTGCTGAAAGAGTAATGCAAACTATTTATGCGCGGCGAATTATCCCACACAACAAAATCGTGACTGATTGAATTGAGGCTAGCTAATCAAATCGATCGTATTAATTTCGTACGACTCAATATTTCACATTTTGATATTGTCCAAATTTATAGGTTTTCACTATTTTCTTTTCCCAAAAACTATTCGATATGAAAAGAGGCACAGTCGGAACGTTCTGGGTTTTGTTCTGATATACGAGCAGTCTTGTTACAAACTTAATGCTGAAAATATCATTTTGTGTTTAAGTAGCGTGTGGGTAGGTTCTTTAAAAAGAAATTCAAAATATCTGTTTTTTGAAAACGTGATCACTTTTTCAAATCGAACACTTTTATATGGACATTAAAGGGCAATCGCAACATTCAGGGCGCCGCTTTCATACGGTCGTCAGTCTTTTTGTTCTCTTTTTTCACTGGATTCCACAGTTTATCCGTTGATTCCAGATGTTTTATTAAATTCCTCATACTACTGCAAATTCCACATAAGTTTGAGCAAGAAAAAACATGCGCAGCTCAGGTTTTCAAAGCGGATTTCAAAGAAAAGGGATTTATCAACATTATCGGTGGAACAACGTTTCAAATGCAGAGTGTATCAGCCTGTTGTATCTTTAAATTTCTGTTTTGTCTAACACGCTGGTATCTAATTCTTTAATCGCATCGGAAGGGAGAAGGTTCGAGATAATCGGAGTATTCGGGAGGTTCGGAAGGCTCGGGAGAAAGGGTACACGCCTTAACTAACTTACACATATATGAGCGCAATGTGGTTGGATGCAACGTCAATCAAATTGAGACAATGAAGCTCAATGAATTTTTTAGTACAAAAATTATTTCAAGAGGAGGACTGTAAATTGAAAAGACCCAGATAAGACTTCAAATTTTGAGTGTGTGGGCTGAGATTGCAAAGTCTTGAGTCTGCGATGTGACGCACCATCTGCGAAGTACAGTCGGCAAAAGGATGGCCATCGGCTGGAACGGGATGCCCCCGAGGGAGGGGGGTCCGTTGAACACACAGGGGAGGTGAAGGACCACCCCCACTCTAATGGTAAGGAAAGAGGGAATACTTTTCAACATAGAGACCAGAAACATGCCTGAAATGGAACATGAAGCTAATTATGTACAATCGAGCAATGCGTGAACACAATTAAGCAATTTAAGACCAAATAGTATATAATTATAACTATGGTGTAAGTTTTAATGAAAGAATTACCTCAAATATTGGACCGAGTTAAGCCTAATCCTCCCTCGCCACTCAAATGGGGGGGGGGGATAGTAACACTATTATTGATGAACACCTTAATTCTCAGTATATAAGCAAACGCCGTTTTCCACAAAAAGTAACCATAGCTAAATTAAACTTTCGATTGGGCAGTTTCACGGACGAAGGGCTAAAAATTTTACCCAAATAGACTGTACAATGAACTGACTAATTTTAATGGTCGCTTCTTTCACATTTTTGAATACTTGTGATTCTTATTTATGAATTCTGTCACTGGCTTCCAAATATTTTTGGGTATTCGGTTCTGCTGCCATAAAGTAACAACCACACCCCCCCATTCCACGCACACACACGCACACGCACACACGCGCACGCAGGCACAGGCCCTTAAAAGTTGCAAGCTGGGGATAATGAGGGGGATACTTGCCGTATTTGTTGACGACACAGACTTCGTTGAGACAGTCGATGAGCCAGGAGAAGATGGCTGTGATGAGGCTGGACAGCATCTCGTACTCCACCAGCAGTCCAATCTGATCCACCCGGCAACAACCCTACACGGCCTTCCCAACGCTCTTTTTCCCCTCCCTCCCAATTTTTTTTTGCTAATTATGAACATTTAACTGATAGTTTAGCTCGAAAACCTATAGTTGGGAGCAGAGGCGGATCTAGGATTTTCTCGAGGGGGTTTTCCTCCCCTCTCTCCTAATTTCTTATAAAGACCTTATTTTTTTGACTAAATTTTCTTTGCCACAGGTAAAATTTTTCAAAAAACGGGCCAAAAAAGCACTTTTTAGGCACTTTTTGGAAAATTTTGACCAAAAAAAAACCGCGAAGGCGCCTTTAGAAAAATTTTAAGGTCAGTCAGCCAAAAAACAATATCTCAAAATAGTACAATGGGGGACCCTTTGGGTTGGCAAGGGGTCGAATCCCTGTAGGGAGGCGTCCGCCCGTCCCCCCTCCCCCCACCCCTAAATCAAAGCTGCAAGTTCTTAAAGCATTTTAAATGTGAAATTAATTATAAAAACGATATAGATGTTGAAAAAGAGCGTCGTTTCCCTGTCCCTGGATAATATCTTCTTTATCTTCCTCCTCTCTCCCCAACTCCCACCCGCTAAGCCCTTCTCCCATCGAAGACGACATTGAAGACAACGAGGAAGAAGAGGTGGACTCGTAGTCGTGGTGTTGCGACCGACCCTAAACACAAAAAGCTCAATGGTTAGAAAACGGCGATCAGCGATTATGATCGAAAGAGGTTTCGAGACCGACCACGATCCATGCTTTCTTGTTTGGAAACGATGAGGCAACAACAAGTAAACAACTCTTAATAAAGTGTGAAATGCATTGAATCATAATGCATAACAGACTAACAGAATGCTCCGACTGCAGTAACTGTCGCAGAAAAAATTGAAAAACAAAAAAAATGATCTACATTTTTTTACCCTAAGACATTTCTTAGGTTGATAGACGAAGATTCTGAAAAACCAGATTCAGAGTGACCTCTCCGTCTTAAGTCATCCTCTACCCAAGCGGAGAATTGAGTTTGAATAAATTCAAAAAAAGTTTTTTTTTTAAATATATTGAAAAATTCATACCAGATTTTCTGGTCGAAATGCAAATCAAAGTTTTCAAATGATTCTGCTCTTGCTCTTTTCGAAATTTCTTCTTGAAGGCCCTTGACATCACAGCAAAATATTTGTGCAGCAATGGATTCATGCAACTACAGATTCGAGCCATAGAAACAGTGGTCAGATACTCAGGCTGGACAACAATAGAATTAAGAATTGAACTGCACGAAGACTGGTTGCTGAAATTTTACAATAAAACCATCGGATTTGTCTTTTTGAGCGGGAGTCTGTTGCTTAGAATACAATGCAGGATGGGGGCGGGAGGGGCGGGGAGTTTGATGGTAGATGTTTTAGCAGCCCACCTGTGGGACCAAGTGAACAATCTCCCTCTAATCAATTTGAGGGAAGATAGTTCACCTTGGTTAGAAGTAATAGTTTTTAGTCAGTCTGATCAGATTTGATCATATTACATGCAGGCCTTATGGCTTGAATTTGTCATTTAATTCTAGGGGGAGAATTTTTCACTTTTTGTTCACAATATTCTTAGACCAATTGGTCTAATAAGAAGGGAGGTTGTTCACATGGTCTGATAAGGGTGGAGATTGTTCACAGGAGCCCACCTGTGTACTGTAGCAGAGAATGGCACTGGTCAAAACTAGAGAGACATACTGGACCAAACACGTGCAAGTAGCAGAGAGGAAGATGAGTTTGAGCACGTCCCATACAGCCGCATATCGGGGGTTGCAGCTACTCCCCACCCTCCTGTCCGTTCCCTTCTGGCGTCCATGCAGTGCCTGGTACATCAGAATCTCCTATAACCAAAGCTCATTATTATTTCAGAAGTCAAAAGATTCATCGTGAATTATAATTATATAACTTCAAGAACGCTCTTAATTCAAATCAGTATACACAATATATACACTATACATTTATACAATGTAAATATTGATGAGGGATACCACGGGTCAATTCATACAACTACTGATGTAACCAAAATTGGACACCCGATCGGCCAAAAATGCCGATCATACAATTCCATAAGTACAAAAAAGTCCATGATGGGTGTATGATAAGTATTTTTTCGTATATGGGAAGTGTGTGACTAGCATTTTTCCTTAAACCAGGAAAAAGAATATTGTTAATGATTTTCTTATTCTTAGAATTATTTGGTTGTGTTCGTAACCGAAAGAAGGTGAAAAGACCTTGGTTACAGAAAACATCAAGTCTCCGAGATTTTAGCGATCTTGCGTACAATGAGCAATGAGACCGATTCAACTGTAAATATGCTATTCAAACGATAAGATGAAAATATCAAACTTTCAAACTTTGGCAAACATTTTTAGTGCTGCTTATTTTTTGGTTGAAAACTTTGAAACGATTTTTCTTAACAAGGGCATATAAAATAGACAATACAGAAGAAATAATTTGTTTTTGAGAAAAGTTATTTTGAAAAAAAAAACTAAGGTAACTTTTGAATTAATTAACCAGTTTTTCAATGGCTAACAGATCCAACTCATTAGTTTGCTAATTTTGGATTTTTTTTTTTTCATTTTTGAAGGAGAATCATTGCTTTGAAGTATGTAAATTTCGAATGATAGTTATTCCTTGATTTGGTATCTAAATACAAAAATTTTGTACCTGCAAAGCATTAATAGGTAATCTGTTGCAATAGGTGGCAGTTCTTAGAATTATTCGAGTAGTGCATGTATTAAATTTGAGAACTAGAATGCATAATTTAAACATTTTTTCATTAAGATAATAATTTTTTGCTTTTCATTTTGTTGAGATGATGCTTCAAATTAGATGAAAAACTTGACGCAATTGATGCATTTTTGTGATTCATTTATTGTGACTTTTTTCAAATACATTGTTCGATCTGATTTTAAAAAAAAATCTAAACTTTTTAAAACAATTTTGAAATTTTATTCGGAAAAAAGTTCAGTTTTGCCACCCAAAAATGCTAATTCAAAAACAACAGTGCATTGAGCCTTTTGAGATAGAAAATCCGCCTTTTCCACTGATCTCACTAAAAAAACAAAAAAAAAACAAGGACGAGTAAAGAATCGTCGGAAAACTGTCCATAAGTTGAGCGGATTCATCGAAAATTGTCCGATGGATTTGGCAAAATAATAAACTTGCTCGCTCATTATATGACTAAGCCTCGTATCTTCAAATAGTTTTTTTGAAGTTACAACTCAATTTTTTTTCGAAGTGCTCAGAACTTTGATTTTGTTTTTATAAATTGATTTTGAAGCGATTATTTGAATTAATTTTCGAAGTGATTATTCTATAAAGAAAATTGACAGATTTTTTTCTTATTCTTAGAATTACTTTGCTGTGTTCGTAATCGAAAGCAAGCAAAAACGACCTTGGTCACTCAAAACATTAAGCCTCTGAGATTTTAACGGTCTTGTTTATAATGAGCAATGAGACCGACTCAATTTTAAATAGTTAATCAAACGACAAGATGAAAACACAAACTTCCAAATTTTGGCAATTTTTTTTAGTGCTGCCAATTTTTTTTGGTTGAAAACTCTGAAATAACTGTTCTCGCCAAGGGCATATAAATCAGACAATACAGAAAAAATAATTTATTTTTGAGAAAGGTTATCTGGACAATAATTAATGCCATTTTTGAGTCTTTTGATCAATTTTGCCTGCCTAATGACCAACAGATCTAATTCATTATTGAGCTGACTTCTATTTTTTGTTTGCGGATTCCAGTTACACCTGTAGTAGCGTTTTAAATTTTTTTTTTAATTCACCAAGTGGCAACAACAAATTGAATCTCAATTACTGCTAATTTGATCAGTCCCAAACTTCGATCTCAATTACTGTCAAACATCCAACTTCGATCTCAAATCCTGTTGAACACCCATCTTCGATCTCAAATCCCGTCAAAAAAACAATCTTTGATCTCAATTCCTGCCAAATTACGCCAATTTTTGATCCTAATTTTTTGTTTCCAACAATCTCAACGATTGTTTTCAACGAACGTGTTTCCAACGATCCCAAAAATATGAAGAAAGAAACTCCCTCAATAATTAAGGAAGTTTATTTAGTGATCAATACTAAAAGTTGACACCAACATATTTAGTTAAGCAATGTTTTAAAATTTTTTCGTGGGTTCTACTGACAACGGTTAAGTCCTCGCTTTTAAATTTCGCAATACTAATTCCAACTCTACTTTTAATTGTTAGTATGCAAGTTCAGTAATAAAGAAATATGCGGAATCCGCTAGCAATTTGCGGAATCCGCGGACATTTGCGGATTCCACTTACATTTTGCGGAATCCAGAACAACTAGCTGAAGTTGCTTGTTGCAGAATCCGCCCCAGAACAAATGTGCCGACAAATTTAACGTTACAAGTATTTGAATGCAGAACCTGCAGAAACTTTTTAAGTGGAAACCACTCACATTTTTGAGCATGTTTAAGATTTTTCTCCACGAATCCAGGAAGAAACAGACAAAAAATTGTGCACCTATCCTGTGCACAGTTTGTCCTCATAATGGCAGTTCAATTCTTTCATTCAAAAGCTCAGAGTTTCGATTTTGTTTCTTACAAATGATGGAATAACTATTATCATAATAATTTTTTAAAATTCATTGAACAATGATTTTGAAATGAATATCTCAAAATTAATACTGTTAGCCGTAAAACAATCATTCCTTAACAACAATCTTAACTATGAGTAAAATCATATCTTTGACAGAAATCATAAATTTGAAATTTCCGGCGCCAATTTGTTTCATGGTACGAGTTTTATTTGATTTTCACCGGCGTGACTGTTAATTTTATTTTTTAAGATTTGAGCCAGACGCTTTTTGAAATTCTTTTGAAGGTACAAGGCAATCACTGGCCCTGCTACCTAGGCTGTCGTCGTTTTTTTTGAAAAAATTCACACTCTGTTTGAATATTGTATTAATCAAAACGAATTAATATTTGAATCAATTTGTCGAGATGGTGCGATGTTTGCATAAACAGCACTATTTATTTCCAGTTGAGGTCATATTTTGTCTTCGGTTGAGTTGGAATACTTTGGCAGTGATGCGCATGTCATTTATTCACAGTACAATTTTCAGAGTTTGTTATTTATTATTTTTTATAACAGGTTCACATACCAACGATATTGTTGTGAACTCTTCGGTCGAGTCAAACTGGACGTCCTTAATGTTTATCATTCCTGTTAAAATTCCTCGTAATGCCATATGGAAGAGTTGCCGACTAAATACTAATTATTATTGTTCACATGCGTTTGTGTCTTATTCCAGCTCACGCGACAGGGCAGTGGAAATTCGAGGCCGAAATAATATCCAGACATTAGAACCCTCAATAGAAGCCTTTAGAATGATCAAACTAAGCGCCTGTCATGAGTGTCAAAAATTGCTAGGTCCGGTTTTGCGTGATCATAACTTGTTTGCTTATCGTGATGGCTTTTGCGCGAGTCACGACTATCATTATTTCGTGTTTGGTTATGGCCTAAATTTATGGACACCGAGAGATTACTATGAGCGAATAACGGATTACACTGATGGGAAAGCATTGAACTACATTATGGCCCATTACTCGCCGAAATGTAAAGCAAATATAATCATGGAATTGGGATTCGGGAAGGGAAAACTCACGGTTTCCGATCATTTTACCAGTTTCCAGCCAGAGCGACCAGGGTTACCATATATTCTCAAAGTTGGGTATCAATGGACGCCAAAAATACCCTACGAGAACCCAGAGGACTTTATAACGTTCGCTTGGTTCAAGAAGAACGTTATGTGCGCTGATCAACCTTGGATTTGCGGTGAACCCAAAACGAAAATGAAAAAGACGAGAAAACTCTGGCGGAGGTATTTTGGAAAACGTCCTCGGTTTCCAGAGAAACAGTGAAATTATAAAATTTATTTTTAAAGTTTCGCAATTGTTTCGTTGTTTTTGGACAAAAAGTGTTAACTTTACCAAGATTTTAAAACACAGTTAAAACTCGTTAAAAACAAGTAGCACAGAATGTTCCGCCCATATTCCAGAAAATATTAGGGTCGTTTTTTGTCCTTAGTGTGATGAGAGAGCTACAAAAACGCGTTAAAATTTAACCAATTAGGCATAATTGCGAAAAATTGGCTTCAAAAAATTACAAACAGACAAAAAATTTATCTAACAAAAATTTAAAAAAAAACGAAAAAACAAATTTCTATTTTTTTTTCGCAATAATTTTTCAATTTTTTAGAAGCTTACTAAGGCAAAGGAAGCACTAAAAAAGTTAATAATCTTGTTTTCCGTTTGGGAAAATCCATTTTTTGAGCCTTAATGTCTGATTTTTATATGACGGCCGTTACTCGAACGCGTTACTCGCTCGAATTTAGTCTAAAAATCAAACGTTTTCAAGCTGTTTTTTTTCGATAATAGGAAAACCATGTGAAAATTGTCAACGTCGTTCGAACCTCGACTAAAAAGTTCTTAGTAAAGTATATCACTGGATTCAATCTGATGATTATTTGTGAGATCAGACTTTGCGTGGATAACAAAAAAAAAGAAAAAAAAGAAAAAGTAAAACAGACCCGTATACAAATATCTTGACCATTTTTCAAATGGTCGGAATATAAATTCTGAAAGCAATAACCATGTTTTTGACCACAAGTATCCAATTTGTTGCTTTTTTGTTTGATAATATTTCTCAAGAGATAAAACGAGAAAAATTCAGCTTTAGAAAAGCCGGCTGCTCTGCAATTAACTTATACAATTCCAAACAGAGTTGTATTTGCGCACAATTAGAATCGTAACTTTTTCTGTAGTTTTTTTTCTGTGTTTTATGAGTAATTA